TTTGTCTTATACAGTATATAGGCCTAAATACTGTATGTACGTAAGAAACTTGGCTAAAACTTGGTTTTCTGATATAGGCATATATTTCTATAAAATTTGTTGAACTTTTTTGTTTGATTCAAAGTTCACATTCTATAAATAGGGAAGTATTCCAGGTACAAGAGATATAACTTGTACTTCAAAAGTTGTAAATCTTTCATGGTATTTTCACTCGTATAATAGCTAGTGTTCTATACTAGCCATGCTCATCATTGACTTCAGATAATTCTCATCTTCCAAGATTATTTCTGAGTTGACTTCTTATCCTCAAGCAAATGAACCTGATCAATGTTTAAACGCAACCACAAAATGTCAGAACATTCATGGCGGTGGTTTTCTTTGATAGTTTCTTGACGAATGTCAAGTCGAATATACTGCGTGTTATATGGCATCTTACAAAACACAGTTTATATTAAAAGTGGCTCATAAAAAAGGATATGTTGAAGGGTTTCTTCCTTTGTCACTGTAAAACATCCAACATTTCTAAAGTTATCCGACTGCTCACACTTTGCGTTGTAATGTAGCCTTCGACATTCTTAATTCTACATTAATTTTATATCGTCATTTGCTTTGATTTATAAGTTTTTGATTGATCAACTTAGTCCCACAAGACATATTTGGAGAGCGGCGTCGTAAGCAATTCCTTCTTTTTTGTCAATGTTTGTCAATTATTCCTCACGTTACCATGGTTTCCATACCTATTGTTTAATTGGATCGTTTTATCTTTGCGACATTTGAAACATCCAGTTAAAGAAATTTGCAAAGAAAGATTATGGCGTGGTAGGAGATTTTTTCTTCCAATCTCCACCATTCGTAACGAGAGTTTGAAACTTTAGCTTCATCTATTTCATCAAATCCAAATTGTACTTGTCTTGTCAATATTATATATTTATACCGTAGTCTTTGTTGTTTTAATATACTAAAAAATATAACTTAGTACATTGGGCAAGGTATTATTTTTCAGATTTAATATTTGTCTACCTTTTATATTAGGTAAATGATTGGTTTTCAAATAGGTCTAAAAATTAAAACGAGAAAACAAATTCCTCACTGAAAAAGGCGTAGGCTATAACATCTTTGACTTTTTCCGTTTCCATTTTATCTGGAAGTGCAGATTTCTTGAGTTGGAGTACTGATGTTTATATTTTTTGTGCGCTCTCAGAACTAATTGCAGTAAATACAAAGTAATCCTAAATATAATTTAGTGATATTTATGGCCCACGTCCACTCGAATGTTTTGGAAATTTCTGCTAAATGTTGAAAGAAAATAGGCGTATATTAAAGAGGCATAATATATCAAAGTTGTGTTTTCGCTGGGAAACAATCTTTCTCAAGTCTGTTTTGGCATAATTCTTTCGCAAAAACATATTAAATCATCTTCATATTTATGTGTGTGAAATTATATTTGCGTTATTCGCAGCCGAGCGAAACGGAAATGCATTTTGCATTCCGCTGTTGTTGCCGGATTGTGGTCTGGCCTTGGTTACCGATGATTTGTAACCAAGGCTAATCAATGGGTTACAAACTGAGGCCGGGTTACAAGGAAGTAAAGACGGTGTTTAATCTAAAACTTAAAGAAAGTTGATAGTCCTTGCTGGTCTCATTGAGTTAGCCGTTATTCTTTGTCCCGTTTCACGTAAGCTCAGATATTTTTTAAGTTGTAAACACAAATACGACCTAGTTAAGTAGGACGAATAATAATTTAAGCCACGTTCTCATTTTTGATGGTATAAAACGTTAGATGTGTGTCCACATGGCGTAACGCCGTAAAGAACCCATGTCTTGTTCATCGCTGAACGATTTGTACATTCAACCTGCAGTGGCCTGAATGTCTTGACTTTATTATATTTTGAGAATAAAGGGATCTCCTTAGAATAACTTAGATTATTAAGATCATTTATTTAACTTTAAACGTCGCGTGGTAAAATTTGTAAGAGTGCTGTCCCCTTGTGTCTGAAACTCGAATGAAAACATCACACTTTCTGAAGCCAAACGATTTACAATTACAATTTATTGTAATATTGATGATACGACGACATTTTTTCACTATAGGCCTAATATACGTAATACTCGGATTGACCGCATACCTATAGACAAGTATTAGTACCAACCATACTAAGAACATTAGAAAATTTAACCTTTTCTGTAGGCCTACATCATTTGATTCCCCAAAAATCAATTTACCACCAAAGCAGGCGATTTTTGTTGTTCTCCTTGCCCCTGTCTATAGAGATTTGTTGTTTTGTTTTTGTGTTGCTACTATTTCAATAGTTATTTTCGTTTTAGAATTTAAGTCTATAGGCCTATAAACATCATTACCAAACTTCAGACGTTATGATCGGTGATGTAATTGACGCCAGATGCAACATAGTAAACAAAATTAAGGCCATGATTTCGCATTTTGTTATAGGCCTACTGTATTTGATCCTCCACGTGGTTTACGTAAGCTACCCTTGCAGCTTTTTTTTTCTTTACGTTGAAATAGAAACGCAAAATTTATATGAAAGTAATTCAAAAAGAATTACTTACGCAACGAGTATGTACTTAATTCTGAGATGATAAATAGTTATGCGAAATACGATTTCATTTCGATCTGTGTTATAAAACACACTCGGTTAGTAATACAATAAAAAAAAAACATTGAAAACACTACGTTATACAGTGTAATATAATTTGAAATGTGCACAAATCTGTTATATTCTTTCAAAGTCAATCGTGTACTTAAAGAGACTTGATCGTGATGTGAACTTAGTCCCTGAACCTAGTACACTATAAATAAAATAATTCTAATAGGACTAATATTGGATTGTCTCAATGTTCAATTAATATTTATTGTTTTTCGCTTGTTTTTTGCAGTACTTGTGGTCTTGCACGAGCTCATTTTGAGAAACAGCCGCCAAGTAATCTTCGAAAAAGTAATTTCTTCCATTTTGTGGTAGCGTTGTATGATCGGGCTGGACAACCAGTTGAGATCGAAAGGACGTCCTTTATTGATTTTATAGAAAAAGACTTAGTAAGTATATGAAGATTATTGTAATTATTAATACTGTACTTATTGTTCTTGTTTATTATTACTTTTATTTTCATTATATGTTTCAATAATAATAATAATCATTATTATTGTTAATAATAATGATATTGTTGTTTGTAGGCCTATAGGGCCTATAATAATTATTAGAATATTAAATATTATTATCATTTTTTAATATTTGACCTATAATTATCATATTCAACATTATCACTGTTACTGCAATTGTTAACGAGTATTAGTAGACCTATTATAATTTTTGTTAATATTATTTATTTGTGCTATAACAAAAAACTAAATAATATTTACTATAGGCCTAATTATTATTTCTTGTTTTTGATTATTATAGACATAAACAAATTAAGGAAACACGTTTCTTGGCCCGGAGGCTTATGATGAGAGTTAATTAGTAATTGTTTGTTAATAATCCGTATCTTTAGTATGGTGTTTCAAGTACAGTACATCATTGCAAGGGTTATTATTCAGTTTGAATAGCTTCGAAAACAAACTCAATAAAATTGTGCTTTCGGTAAAAATCCATCGAAAGTAATGTGTGCTACAGGGGATTTGATCACAAACTAATCTTCCTTGACCACATGGCTTGGCCTATCTGATAGATTCATATACTATTGTTTCCTGTTCAAAAAATTAGTCTTCTCGGCGCGTATGATAATGGTTTGTAGAAACAAAGACCATTTACATTTAAAGTAAATATATAGTTTACGGTAAAAATCTTTGGTAATGCCATAAATTTTTGTTAATTGTAGTGACCGTATTTTCCAATCAAACTTGACAATGCCGATTTCAACCTCGTATCGTTTATATTTTGAAATTTACCGCCGATATTATTATTTTCACAGTTTTATTTTTGTCTCTTTTACTATCTTTACTCTTTTCATGCTCTGAAGTGTATCAATTAAAGATACTGTTGCAGTCCTCAGGGGTAAAATAGTTTAGCAAGATTCTGCTAGCTTGGGGGTTTCACTCATAATTTAGCAAAAACATTTATCTCATTATTAGGACTACTACCATTCCGGGAATGTTAAACATGAATTTATGGCATTTATAATTGAAATTATTATTTATTATTTTTGGTGAGATAATAAGAAATTGCCTATACCATGTAGGACTATTTCAATATGTTTTTTGTATAACCCTAAGACCTGTAAGTCAGGCATTAAAAGCTTTTAAACGTCAGTTATATGATGAGTGCAGTAACTACGCGTTCTTTCAGCTGGAGAAGTTATGATTTTTGAACCGTATTGATGATGATAGCCTACGGACACAGCTGCCTATACTCTATCAGCCCTCGCTCCGTTGAGATCTACCTCCCGGGTGTCCAGACCTGCAGGTCAATTTCACGGCAGTATGGTTTGAACATTTCTTTTTGATTTTTCAGGAGCCGGACAATAATAAGACCAATAATGGGATACACTATCGATTGCATCTTCTCTACAACAGCGGTAAGTGTTACTTATTGCAGAAATAATCACGGAACGTTATAATATGGAAAATAAAAGAAGAATACGGTACCTTTCTAATAAACATATACCATATGCAACGCATAGTGCAAACAAACAGCGGGAGAGCATAGGCAATAAATATACAATATCTCATGACACCATCTCCTATTAAATGCCAGCGTATCGTGACGTCATATTCATATTAATGCTGACATTTGCAATGACGTAATTTACGAAACACTTTTAATATTTAAAAAAACACGGTGGAATATTGCAGACGGAGCGGATAGAGATTAAAAAGCTGAAATCATCGGGAAAAATCATTTTAAAGTATGTTTTTTCAACAACCTATGATATATATGTATAATGATCTTAACGAATGATTGATCATATTGTTAATACCATACTGAACATTTTTACGTCACTGAAATTCATGAAAAGGGCCGTTCAATCACAGATTTATTTTTTACCGCCAAGTCGTTTATTCACCGTTAGTTTTTTTTAAAGGTTTCTTTGTCATTTTGTTTCTCTGAAGATTTGATCATTCCGGCTTACATTATCGACATTCGATTGTGATGTCCGATAAACAAAACAAAAACAAAACAAAAAATCACTGATAGGCCTATGACAACTATAGGCCTAATTATAAACGTAAATAATAATTAAAAAAGAAAACAGAACACAATATGTAACTTCATAATAAAATATCCAACAATCTAAGACTATAGAAGATACATTTAAATATCACCGGCTTATTATTGGATTCAAAATTCTTAATAATTTGTGTCCCCCAAACAGAGTTTGTTTATAGAGTGAGCATTGTGAGGGCAGGCTTATTCATTGGAAAGCAAAAGCAATATTTTACTCTGCTTTGTATTCCTTGCAAGACCCTGAGAAGTGCTGCCTCCTTTAGTTTAAAACTCTTTTAACATTTACTATTTTATTAATGATTTAGTTAGGCATTTTATGTCTTTTTATTTTTCTGATTGTTTTTGTAAGCCTACTACTGTATTTCATTATGAAGGACAGGGAGCAATTCTTATTTGAGCTTTCTCCCATCCTATCCGGGCAAACCATGCTGTTTCAGTATACTGTATTTGCCAAATAAATAGCATTATCATTATTATATAGATTATGAAATAGAAATAGCAATAATTGTAAAGTGAATTAAATATTTTAAAAGAGTTTTTCATATTTATAATTAACTATACTACCGTAAAAAATGTATTGTCTACCCTCAATTACCGCAAATGTTAATTTCACTTTTATGGGTAGAATCGCGATTCTACATGACATTCAATAGGCCGTTCTATTACTTTGAAATGATAAACTATTTTTTTTTAAGCAACCTGCCTGTAGGGCTAAATTATTTTGTGACATATATATTATATTTAAAATATTGTTTAAGTCTACAATTTGGGCCTAATTGTTATGAAAATGAAGTTAACACATCAGCGATAAAAGTCTTATAGGCTTGTCACTAGAATCGTAATTCATGGGCTTAAATAATATGTTTTTATAAGTAAAATTTTAGCGAAACTAGTAATGTCGAATTGACGGGTTCTGTGCTGTTAATTGTATGTATCTTACCAGACCTGTAGGACACAATACGTTTGAGTCGATAGTGTCCGCATCACAGAGTTTGTAGGATTTCACAGTTTCTTGTAAGTTTATGAAATAAGCGAAATCCAATAAAGCGACAACGGCATGTTTATTCAGTTAAAGCCAAATTACGAGATTTCATTCGACTGACTCGCAATCAGATTAGTGCGACGGGCTCCGTAGCTCCGCTCTAAATATTAAATTCGTCTTCTGTGAGCTTGCAACATTTAATATCATCGTCATGCTTAAACAATGCGTTTTGATAGGCCTATTTGTTTATATTATTTATCGTTTATTTATAGTCGTATAATAGCTTTGGTTTTCAAGTACGATAAAAATAGTGCTAATTAATAGGCCTAATTTATTACTAAACAATAATTTGGCTAAATAGCCTTATACTTTGTTATTTTTAATTCAGCTCAGCTGGCTACGATACTAGGCCATGGAACAACCAAACTGTAATTCTTAAACCCTATAAAAGAACTCAATACATTTTCTAATAAATTGGGTTGCCCGGAATCGGAGTTTCGATCCCAATCTAATAGGCTTACAACTAAACTTTATACATGCGTAGGCCTATTTAAAATGTATTAGGCCTATGTGGGAACCAACAAAAACAACAAACAGCATTAAAAGTAATAATGATAATAATAAAACGGTAATAATAATATTAATAATAATATAGTTGTGACGTCGTGAAAATCGTAATAATAATAGGCCTACACCTAATTGTAACGATAACAAAGATGATGATGATAATAATGATAATGATGATGAAAGATGATGATGGTGGTGATGATGATGATTGTAATGATGTTGGTGATGGTTGTAAATTAACTTAACTAACAATATTTACAGTACTAATATCTAATTAAACTACAAGATCCAATAGGCCTAGGCCTAAAGTGATAATTTCTTATAGTAGGCCTATCTGTTAACAATCATTCATCATTTTTGGTGGTTTAAAAACTGTTTCCTTGCACTGTTTACCTTACATCAACCTTTGTAGCTGTTGTAATTTATTTGGCAATTAGGTATTAGTGAATTAATTGCAGGTTTCAATATCATCGCCTTCGGTTCTATTCGTCATGAATAGTGTCTCTAGACTGTCTGCGTTCCGTGTACGTTTCTATATTGATTCCTCGGGTTGTGATCGTAACTATGAAGAAAAATAAATATGAAAACACGTCCTTAGGCCAATCGTGTGAGCATACGCTGACAGATTTCAATGCCTTTACGAAGCCACTGTTCACTTCTAAATTTAAAAATAAACAAATTATAACTAATATTAATACCGTAATGTTTACGTTTACGATAGGCCCTAATTCTCATTAAAACGTATTTTACTGATTTATTACGAACTTATTGATGACGTAACAGCATTTATCGATGATGTCGTCATTGTATATCTATTGATTATGGATAATGTTATTGACATAGCAAAGATGATTATGATGATGATAATGAAGACGTTGGTGATGATGAGTATAAGGATGAGATGATGATGATGATGATAAGGATGAGATGATAGTGCTGTTGTTGTTGATGATGATGGTGATGATGTTGATGATGATGATGATGATGATGATGATGATGATGATGATCGAGTGATGATGATCATCATCATGATGATGATCATGATATGATGATCATGATGATGATTATCATCATCATCATTGTCATTATCATAAATAGGCCTATTATTCCGTCGTTTTCCAATGCGATATTTTATATTTATTTATCTTAATTTGTTCTGTCATTCAATGTTAGGTCTATTATGAAAACAATGAAATTATCAATTATGAAATCACATCTTTTTTCAGGAGTACGTTCAGTACAAGATATATACGTACGGCTGATTGATTCAATGACGAAACAAGTAAGTGTTGCCAGGCTGTTTTAAAATTTTAAATTATAGTATGCATGATTTCTCACGCCTAAGACAAAGGGAATCAAATTGTGATTCTGGTTTATCAACTTGATCTACATATTATTTGGAATAGTATAGGTGTTAAATGAAACGAAGTACGATCGTTTTTTTGTTTCGGACGTTTTATTAGTTTGGGTTTGTGATTGATGCGAGTCCGTGCTTTATTTTACATGATGTTGAATTTGAAAATGTTATTATAGTTATACAATTAAAGATTAACTTTCTTTAGTAGTAGGCGTGGCGCTCTGTGTGGACCATTTCTATATACTGTATAGGCCTACAATTCAATTTATAGGTAACTTTAAGTTTTAAAATAATATTAGGCCTAGTTTATAATTTATATTTATCTTTTAGTGATTTTGATTATGGTATGCTTAGCAGTTAAATGTAATTAATCATCATTGCGCTTTAATTAAAAGAAGAAACAATCGTCCCAGCATGCCTTAAATGCAGACTAAATTTTCCCCAAGTAACGACTGGGGTATTAAAATACGAAAGTGAAAAACTTTGACCCACACGAACAACGACCGTCTCGAAAGACGTGTACCTAGGCCTACCTAGCTAGCCTAGGAAAAAATTTATTTGAAGTTGCAATATGATTCCATTTTCGTTGAGTTGGTCAGTATTTGTGTAAATAAGAGCAATTTGATTATCATTTTAAATTGTTTAGATATATTTATGTTGAACTTGCTCCCGTTCTCCTGTAGAACAAAAGTAAGGCGTCGTGCCTAAACTTAACCTAGGCCAACCTGTTCAACGCGGGAAGACGAATGATGACAGCAGTAGAGTTGCCTACTTTTAGTACTGTATGTAAACATGGCATTGAACTCGTGTGTCTGGGTGCACGATTCCAATGCTAACTCGAGTAGGTTTTAACTAAAACAAACAACATGGATTATTGTAAAACAAATCAATTAGGTAGAATCTACAAATCTAAATGAACAGTGGACATGATTTATGTTTTGCAAATGCGTGATGAATTGCGGGTTAGCCTTACATTACGCAAGTTAGTAGTGAACACAGAGGTTGACTAGCTGTTGTTTATAAAGATTACACTCAAAACAGATGCTCGGATTAGGGGATCACATTGACATTTTAGTCGTTTGAATCCGTTGATAACCATACTGTATGCGATACTGTATATTTTCTACTTTATTCCCCTCTGAGACCAAAATGAAAGTAGTTGGAACTTATAGGATGATTAATCTTCATTTTAGAACCGATTTAATTAGAGTTATTCCATATCAACAATCGTCTGTTTTTTTCTCGGTTCTAGTGCCTCTTTAGTTAGATCTCAAGTAGAGAGTTAAGATAAACTAGTGTTGTAAATTTGACACAGCAAATAAATTAGAGTCAATGATTACAGTGTAAGGATTCTATGAAACCACTGACAATTCTAAAATGTTTAAATTGATTGGTAACTGAAACAATCTAAAGTGCATAGCCATTCAATGCAAGAAGATAGAATTGTGGATAATGATCTCTACCATGCCCTTAACTAGCCAGGCATAGCCAACTCTCCATTATTCTTATTGAAGGCATAAGCGCATGTCACACTGGGGAGATTTAAACGCCAGTCCGAAGGGTCTCATTCAGTCTCTGCAAATTGGTTGGGAGCCGTTAACTCGGTCTCTAATGGCCTAGCTCTGTATGCGTTGAATGGTAAATGAGGCAGGAGCTCAGTGAAATGCCCTACCGTTGGCTCGTTCAGCTGGTTATTTTTGATCATCAAATTAGGGTCTCCTCCGACAAACGAGCTTTGATTTTTAAATGCCTTCATTTGGAATCTGATTGATGTAAAAATTATGCAACAACCAACTCCCAGAGATGTTAATTTGTCTTTGTTATAACTTCTTTCATACGGCTCTTGTAATTACATATAATTATCATAGTTTTTTTTTTGGTTCGAGCATATTAGTTAAGCATCATTAGCAGAAAGTGGCCCTGTGAGAGAAGATTCGCTATATATACAAGTTTATCAGAATGGAGTTTAGATGATTTGTGTTGACTTTAAGTATTATACAGCCAATTGTCAGCTGATAGGAAAATTAACTTGTATTATTAATTTTACAATAAAGAGAATAAGAGTATGTTTTGGAATTAAGTTTACATACTTCATCTTAAACAGTTTAAATTTATGGATAAAAACGTGTTTTTATAAATAATATAAAATCAAGTTATAAATTTATTCTTTTTCTGTTAATAATATAATTATAATTATAATAATTATTTATTTATTTATTATTTATTGTCATTGTATTTACTTCTTACAATATTTTTATTGTTAACAGTTATTGTTAATAATTATCAATAAATGAATGAAATAATAAGGTAGTTACAAGTAATATTCAGCATGTTTTAGCATAATTTAAATACCTTTTAGATTTTAAATGAACATTAGGTTACCTTAAAGATATAAAGATTCAAATTGCTAAGTTTAAGGAACCACATAAGTTATAAACTTGTTAAAAGTGTAGAATAAAAAAAAACTGATTTACAATACTTCTACCACGAAAGTGTTTAAATTTGCAGGTAGAAATTTATATGTATATCTTGTACACAGACTATTGGAATATGGAATTAATCAGACATCTGTTAATTGGCTATAGGCAATTTCTTGTTTATTTTTCTTTTAGTGTTTTAAAATTAAAACAAATTTAAGAAAGTAAGTTTTTTCAATGTTTATTTCCAAGTGTATATTAGATATAAATAGCATATTTGAGAATTGAGTGAAAATATAAATCACATCTGACCAGAATCTCATAAGTACAGAATGGTACATAATGTCGGGGTGGGCCACACCCTAGCAAAATGTCATAAATTTTCCAAGTAGTAGGATGGTTTGCCATCTAGGAGTGTGTGGTACTTATGATCTGGTTTGGAACATTAACCTGGAAAAAAGTTCCATTTTGCAAGAACAAGGCTAAAGAAATATAGAATAACTTTGTTTTTTTTAATATATCACAAATTGAAATTTTTAATTTTGTACTATATTAGTACTGTATAATGCAATTCATTAGTCTTGTCATTTTTTTCCTATTAGGACCTAGCGTCCTGGATTCAAATCCTGTTATCATTCCAGCATTTTCCCTTGTTTAAGTATTATTATGTAATAAACATAATACCTAAAGATATATATCTATTATGTAGTAAACAGGTTGTAGATAGAACTAGCTGATTTGGTGTGAACATCTTTTAATTGTTATTGTTATCTAAATAAAAACAAATTAAAAACATAAGTGAAGTAAATGAAAGATATAGGGGAGACTTTAAATTGTCATTTCTGTTTTCATTGTTTAGTAATTTTTTGACCAGCAGTAGGTGACTTATGAACAGTTTAGCAAAGATTAGAATCTACTTGTTTTCTTCTACTAACCCATAGGGATGCTCTGATAACTGTGTAACCTCAAGACCCATCATGATAAAATTTGTCTTGAGTCCAAATGTCCATTGCAATTATACTAGTATTAGTGAAACATGGAAAAAGTGTGCTAGTTGCATTTATGATTGTACTTTCTGATATGATTGATGTAATACTAAGGTTTGGTCTTTTTATCATACATTAGGACCTTATCTAGGGACTAGTTAGATTCTTATTTAACACTTCAAACTATCAAGTCGAATGACGTAGTTCTTGCCCGTTTGGCAAGACTGTATGCGTATGTTCACAATTGCATGAAATGAAATGCATCAAACTATTTATATATTTCCGCCGATCTGCTAGCTGCATCTCCAGTAATAGGAACGCCCAGAATATTTAATTTATGTTATAAAGTGTTCTATAATTTATAAGAGTATATTACATACAGTTTGTTAATCTGTAAAACAGCCCTACTACTGTAGGGAGTGATTGGTTTTAAAGAGTGCAAACATTTTCAGATTTGGATAACAAATATTACATAAAACCTATTCAGTGTTAATATAATAAATCATAGGCCCTATCATATTTCTTATAATGATGTAAAGAAATTACCTTGTTTTTCTTTATTTACTGTTTGGTAAATCTAAATTCCCGTAGATGTAACTATAAATGTGTCAATTTAGATTTAGGAAGATGAACAAATGTTACAAACCATAGCAGCTAACAATTTCTCAATCATTTGTGGTAAAGTTAATTGCTTTGCATTACATCATGAATAATTTATTTTTTCTGACAGAATTCAGGGGCGGATCTAGAGATCTCCAAATGGGAGGCCGAAAGGGGTGGGGGGGCTGAAAGTTGGGCCGACGAGAGAACACCATACTAGGGGGTCTGGGGGGCATGCCCCCTCAAAAATAACATTTGAGGCATTCTGGGCTATCATTTTTTTTCTTTTTCTTTCTTTTTTTTTCTCTTTTTCTTACCTCACAAAAAGGCCGGGGCAGGGCCGCCCCCTCCCCCCCAAATCCGCCCCTGGAATTATTTGAGAATACCAAATCTATAAATTTGACTTGCGATGTGTTCTTGTGAATTCTTATCAAGGAATGGCCTTTGAAAATGGTAAGGTTATTAAATAATGAACGAATGTACAAGGCCTATTTCACAAGCCATTTCAGTGATAATTAACATCTTCAATTATTTGGTGAACTTGATTGTAGCAAAATTTGTAAGCAAACTACGACTTGTATATACGCTCAATGACAACATTCACCCCAAGTATGTGCTTCCATTAAATGCTGCCCTAAAACACATTAAAGTATGTAATATTTAATACGTTGTGTACATTCTACAGCCATTTCCATTGGTGTTGATTGCAGTCATATATTAATATATAATATTACGATAGATCCGGTGAGCATAAGAACTTATGTAGTGCAAAATACTACCTAAAACAGTATGTATAATGTGCGTATAATATACCAGATGATGTGATAAAGAAATTTGTTTCTTGTCTGAACAACAAAATGCACAAATCCAAGGGAAAACTTAAAATGGTGTGATGTATCCTTCATGCTTTTAATAATAATGT